TTGGTGGCAGACAGACGAGGCGCGACGAAGCTCAGTCCGTAAGCAAGTCGGCAAGGAAAGGTGTCGAGAAGGTGATGGAGAATTCCTCTCCACTATAATGAATCTGGTATCATTGCCGCCTCCATCACCTTCATCATCACCGTCGAAGGGAACGCGTACACAAAGGGGACTGTGCTCCAGTCTGCAAGAAATCAGGCTATGATCATTTTTCTTTTTCAATGCGAGACGCGACGCAACATCTTTTCCCCATCGCCGTTCCCAATGTGGAACTCGTTGTCTCCCACCTCTCAATTAGTTCTCCCCGCACTTTTCCTCTCTCTTGGTGCCCTTTTTCATCTCTACGACGTCATGCTCAAACGCCTCAGTCCAGGCCGTCGATCGCTGATTTCATAGGCGATAGGGAGCTCCTTAGACCCCAGATTCGACTGCTCATACCGCGTCATCATCAATCATGGATTTTATCTTGAGGAGACCGACTTACGGACAGGTGAGTCCCATTGATATCGTGAGTACCCATCAATCCCTCTATATCGGTGTTGGCTTGTCTCTCGCTACAAAGGACTCTGTGTGCATTGCTTCCGTACACTCTCTCGCCCATTCAGAGCACCACGACACATCACGTCCCGTCTGTTGGTCCTCTCACGCAAGATGGCCCCAGAGGCCGAGCCCAAACCCGACCCGTCTGCTCCTCGAGCGCCTCAGGCCGAGCCTCACGACCTGAACTGCCTCACGATCTCTGAGCTGGAAGCCCTAGCCTACGAGCGCATGGACAAGCAGACACGAGACTATTACAATGAAGGCGCCGACTGTGGGAGCACCCTGTCCGAGAACATCTCGGCCTACGGAAAATACCGCATCCGTCCAAGGGTATTGCGAGACATCTCCCAGATCGATACGACAGTGCAGGTATTCGGACACAAAAGTAGCACGGCTTTCGGCGTCGCACCGACGGCGATGCAACGGTTGGCACATTCCGATGGAGAAATCGCGACGGCACGAGCATGTCGCTCTCGTGGAGTTGTCATGGGCCTCTCGTCCTTTTCGACCAGCACTCTCGAAGACGTCGCCCAAGCTTGCGGGGACAACCCCCACGTCCTACAACTATACCTGTTCGAAGAGCGCGAGCACTCCCTAAAGCTCATAGACCGCGCCAAGAAGGCAGGGTACAAGGCCGTGCTATTGACAGTCGACACGCCGATGCTCGGTCGCCGCAATCTCGAAATAAGGAATCAATTCAAACTGCCCGCCCACCTATCCATCGCCAATTTCGCGGAACAGGACGACGACACCGACACAGCGGTGGGCAAGGAGCACAGCAGGACCACAACCGCCACGGACGAGAAGAAAACCCCGTCGTCTCGCCGGCCGAAAATGCCACGCCAACGCCGCCCAAGCACGGCAGGCTACCACGACGGCCAGCGACGTGTCCCGCCGAGCGGCCCCATAACGTTCCACACACACGCGGCAAATCCGACGCTATCGTGGGACGAGTCCATCCCGTGGCTGAAAGACGTGTGTGGTCCGGAGATGGAAGTCTGGGTCAAAGGGATCGCGACGGCCGAGGATGCCGAGCTCGCCGTGCGCCACGGATGCGACGGTATCGTCGTCTCGAACCACGGTGGCCGACAACTCAACGGCGCGCTCGCCACCCTCGACGCGCTCCCGGAGGTGGTGGCCGCCGTCAGAAAGCGCGTCCCCGTCCACGTCGACGGCGGGATCCGCCACGGCACCGACATCTTCAAGGCACTCGCCCTAGGCGCCAACTTCTGCTGGGTCGGCCGGCCCATCCTCTGGGGATTGGCGTACAAAGGACAGGAAGGCGTGGACCTCTGTCTGAGATTGCTGAGCGACGAGTTTCGCCTGTGCATGGGCTTGGCCGGCGTCACCAGGGTCGCGGACATTACGAGAGACTACCTCTGCAGAATCGACCGGGATGGGTTTACGAGTCGATTGTGAAACCTGGGCACGAATCACACGAATTGGCGGTGAAGAATGGTGAGGGAGAGAGGTTTCCCGAGCAGGTATCTGCGAGTTCATTCGGGAGCGAGCTCTACTGTCCCGACGACCTGGGTGGCATTCGCCCTTCTCGGCTCTCCCAGCAAACACCGTGATTGTCACATGAAAAACAACGTGAGATTTGCATGAGGGAAATCCCTAAAGGATGGGAATATCCGAAAGGAGAGAGGGGCTTCGCCATGTCATAATATGTCCATGTCAGCCGCATTAGCCATGATAACCAAATCCTAATCCTCATTATTTTGGGCAATTTTTGCATAAAGCTCTGCCGCCAGCGCTTGTTCTTTCTGCACCGCTTGTTCCCGTAGAGCTAGCTGTCTGTGTTTTTCTGTCTGCCTGTCTGTGTGTGTCTGTATTGCTGTAATTCTAGGGGCACATACATACATGTCTTGGAAAGAATCTCCTTTCCTCTGATACTCATCTTTGTTGATTTTGTGTGAATCTTGCCCGTCTCGCCGTTTACCAATGGTGAATCAATTGCAGCCACCCATCATTTTTTCTTTCTTCGTCTTTGTTGCTCGGTCTTCGATCAGGGGTATCATTGATTCCACATCGCATGTTTTCTTTGCGCCAGGTTGTTCAAAGCACCCCCCAACTCCGTGTGGCTTCACAAACTCACACAATTGTCCACGCGTCCTAAGCGTGAGGAATAGAATGTAGAGGAGTCAATATTGTCCTGGAAGTCAAGGTAATATCTTGTCTAGGTTAATCAGGACTATAGAAGTCATCATGAGGGTTTTGATAAATTCTGTTCGAGAATCAGGGTGATGCCAAACCCAATATCAGAGAAAAATATCATACCTGGATGGACGTTGCATTGATAAAAGCCACGACGGGCGCCGAGTCGCCTACCAATCTTCAATCCTTGGTGCCACAAACTTGACCGAGCCATTGTCATTGTACCCTTGTGTGCCCAGGAGTCCGCCGGTGAGTTCCCGCATAACCTGGTTGAAGTTGGTACTGTTGCGGATGTCGCAGCGCTTGCTTGCAGAAGAGGTATGGGCCACCCAAGCCGCGGTGGTTGTAAACCTCTTCAAGCACGAGGGGCAGGTGACTTGGCCGCCAATGTGCGCCGAGGACAGAAGATGTGCTTTGAAATCAGCAGGTGTCTTGAACTGACGCTTACATTTGGTGCTGGGACAAGAATACGCTTGTCCGATGGAATCCCAGTACTTTTCAATCTCCAGCCCATTGCTCGTCGACACGATAGAGTGAGCGGGCATTCGGACGATGTGTTGGAGAGGAGCGCCTGAGTTCGGCCGCACCTTGTAGGCTGGCGGGACTTTGTCAAGCGTTCCAGAGGATGATGCCTTTCTGTCGTACCATGAGCCAACTTCACTAGAGTCGTCGGTCGGCGGTTCAGCCGTGGTAGCAACCGAATTTAGCCACCCTCTGACCAGTCCGGATTGGGTATCCTCTTTTGATGTGCCGACATCTTGTTGCGTGCTCCATGTGGGTTGGGAGATGTGCAACTTCGATATGGCTTCCGCGGCACAGTTATCGAGATCCCCAAGATCCCTTGTGACCTTGACACCGTGGTTGGACTGCTGTGGAGCGGCACCGGCATTGACTGCCTTCGAGTTTGCAGCCTCCGAGAGTGACGGGAAGTGCTCGTGTGACGCGGTCGAGATCGGTCCACCGAGGGCGTTGCTGAGCGATCGACCTGCTTCATAACTCGCCATGTCCGCTAGAAGATCAGGCCGACTGTTGTTGGTGCCAGAACTCGTCTGGTTCCAGGTAGGTGGGTTGATAGCAAATGGATCCGTCTCTGCCTCCCACGCATCTTTCTGGATCTGACGTTCGGCTCGCTGCATCTGGAAATCCTGGAGTCTGATGACTTCACACTCATCTTTCTCGATATGTTGCATCAGCTCCGATGCCGACCTGCACTTCTGTCCACACCCAGCACACTCCATGCTCTGCGAGGAACGATGGTACTGCCGGCCCTCGTCAGCCACTGTTCAACTCGTATCTGAGAGCTGTACTTACAGTTTCTATATGAGCATCCCTGGCAATTGTACTCTTGAACTGTTTGGGTCAGCCTAGTCGATATTTTTCTTCCTGCATTTTGTTCCATACCTCGCATGCGCAGACCGGGCAGCAGACTGTGATATCGTCAGTGACTAACGGCATGGGGCGAACAGAGGACAAGCCAACTCACTGTGGGCTGGGCTTCCGAGCTGATGGATGAAGAGGAACATGTCATTAGCACAGTCCACATCACAGAGCTTGCAGTACGAGTGTCTCGGATCTTTTTCCTTGTGCCGTAACATGGCCTTGCGGCTGTCAAAGTGTTTGAAGCAATCTTCAAAGGTGCATTTGATCTTCATGATTGAGGTTGCCGTGCCAGGGAATCACCAGCCGACTGGGTGAGTGAGTAGTGAGACGCAGGGCCACAGCGAGAGTGTCCGATTTCGAGCTTGTGATCACAGAAGCAAAGGAAGAGAGAGGGTTGAGTGAAGAAGGACAGAATGGAACAAACCAGAAGCCAGAAGGTATTTATATGGAAGAGGTTGATGGCAAGGGACGGGAAAGTGAAAGAGAGCAAGCGGGGAAGAGAGCAAGCAAGTTCCCGATGGCTGCTGGCAAGTTCAATGTGGGCATCCAGTAAGGTGAATCTATCCTTCTGGTCTTAGGCACTTGCCTGCGTCTTGCCAACAAGCGGTGGTGCTGCTTTGTCTACATCGCACTCATCTACCAAAAAAAAAGGCGTGACAAGTGAGAAAGGGTCTACAGCATCACTGAGGGCCTTGTTGTGCTTGTCTGTGGTGACAGGTTCATAAGACGCGCACTTGCTTCGCCGGATTCTTCCCCACCATAAATTTACGGTCAAGTACAGATTGTCCCTGCGTAGCCCCTTTCTGGAGAGTGGTGGTAAATAATGTTGTGGTTCATTCATTCATTCATTCATTCATTCAGCCAGTCGTAACTCTGTCACACAGAGTATCCAAATTGAGTGACATCTAGTGGTAAAGCTTGCCCGTTCATGTATAGACTTCTTCAGTCAGCGCATTCAAAGTCAGCCCTTCCTTAGCAATGTCCTCATCTGTGATTCGAATCAGTACACATCCAAAACAACATAGGGTATGCCACTCACTCTGAAGAAAACATAATGGCATCTCCACAAGAGTACCCTTGACCTGACTTAGCAGTTCCTTCAGCTCCTGCACTCCCCTAGGGAAGTCAGCCCGGACTACATGGCCATACTCCACCCGGGGTGGCAATTTGCTGGGTTTCCCTTGAGCTTCAGCATCGGCGCGCCGGTAGAAGAACTCATAGAACTCCTTGTAATCGGCCCACGTATTCACAAAGTCGTCAGGGACCGCGCGGAACGCCTTCCTAAAGACTTCGGTGTTCGTTCTTGCTCGACTGTTCCACAATGCCTGGAAAGTATCGCTGAGAGGATCTGCCACAACATTGTCTTCGGGTGAACCCCAATCATACACATTGGGCACCCCGACGGGATCAAAGTTGGGGTCAGGTCTGAAGAAATGTTGTGGTCGGAGCAACCCCAGGTGTTTCCGGACCAGCTGTCTGCGCAGAGAGGCAGCAAAGCTGTTCGCCTGATATGGCTGGCCACTCATGTAGGATTGGATTGGCGTTGAGTCGTTGATCAGCAGAGCGATTTCACTATCGTGTGATCCGAGTTGGCTTCGGTCGTTTAGGTTGGCAGACCCTACAATGACAATTCGATCGTCCGCGATGAGACACTGTGGCCGGTTAGATATCTAATAACCCACTTGACTGGCAATATTTACCTTGGAATGGATGTATAGCTCTTCACTAACAAACGCGTCGAGCTCAGCTTCCGGAGGGCCGTCCCAAGGCACCGTGCGTATATCTTGGCCGCCGAGCATGTAGCATTCCGCCACACTGTCCCACCGACCACTTCCTGGAGTGGTCATTTGCTGTGCCGTGGTCTGGTACTGCTGGTATTGCGGGGCTTGAGATAGTTGAGTGGTCCCCGTTTTCTCACCATATTGTCCATAGCCTGCTCCCACAGCATCATCGTGTTGTTTCCGGGCGTCTTCGTATCTGACTCCGCTTTGCTGTTCGACTTGCTGCATGACATTGCCACAATTGATTCGGTCGTAGTTCCGGAGGTTGTAGAATCGAATATAATCCATGGGGTTGAAACCAGCCTGCGCAATCTTTTCCATGATACTGTGTCCACCACGATTAATGCTGTTATACTGGAACTCCATGATTGCTCGAGTGGCGAGTGAAGAATCGTCCCGCAGGTCGCCTGCAAATGCTGGCACCGCCGGAATGACCACAATAATTTTGTACTTTTCGTTATTCCTGGCTGCTCGAATGATTCGTTCAACGATAGCCTGGCCGATCAGATTCTTGACGGGTTTCTGTTGATCGCCGGTGGCGGTGATGAAGAATTGATTTTCAATGTAGACAAAATGCTGACTGTTCCGAATCACATCGATGTATGCATTCTGGATAGATTGCTCGAGGGGAGTTCCATTGCTCCACGTTGTACAGCTCCGAAGGACTTGACAGGTCATGACGGGTCGTGGCTGGTTATATGGGCGCCCATAGGAGTCAGTACCACCAAGGTATTTGCCTTGAAGTTGGTGTGCTTTATCCCCAAGTCCACTTGAAACAACAGTGCCAATCGACGAGAGTTGCTGGCCCAAAAGTTTGCCCTCGGTTTTGTATTGGTCAAATCTGCCTCGGATGCCTCTTTCAGACTCGCTACCCTGTCCGTAATCACCGAAGCCTCTGCTCAACTCTTGCCCATATTCATCAAAACCACGAGCTTGTCCTGCATCGGTCTGCTGGTAAGCTTGATAGGATTGGTGCTGGTACGATGGTGGTGGCGATTGCTGCGACGAAAGTTCCGTCGGGCCTTGGTGATAGGGAGCATAAGCAGGCTCTGCACTGGGCGGTGGCGGATATCCTGGATAGGTCTGAGTCGGTCCGGTTGATGTTTGGGGAGGTGGTCCAGGAGGTGGAGGAGGGAAACTCTGTGGAAAAGCCTGGGTCGGTGGTTGTTGATAGCTCGCCCCAGTGTTCACTGGTTGCTGAACTGAGGGTACTTGCGGTGGGGGACTGGAGACTTGGCCGTAAGTACCTGTGGCTGGTTGTGGAGTTGCCTGTGGTGGAGGGCTGTACACTTGACTGTAGGGGTCAGAAGAAGCTGGATGCGATGCCTGCGAGGGAGGGGGGGAAGTCTGGCTGTAGACCCCAGCGGAAGTCTGCGATGGTGCTTGTGGCGGAGGTGGAGGCACCTGGCCGTAGGTACCTGTAGAGGTCTGAGGCGGAGCTTGGATTGGATTCGGCGGTTGAACTCCTTGGCCAACAGAGGGGGTGGTTTGACCATACTGTCCCTGCGAAGGCTGCTGGTGAACTTGTGTGCCCGAGATAGAAGCAATTGCCGCACCACCATATGCACCGGTGTCTGTTCCCGCTTGGCTTTGGTATTGGCCTGGCGTTGGTGTGTGTGGCCTGCCGGTTGTATGCCACGCCGGTTCCGTATATGGTTGACTTCCAGGAGGTGGGGCAAATCCACCAACCGTGGCAGGAGGTTGGGGTTGCCCTTGAGACTGTGGACGTGGTTGAGGTCGCTGACCTGGACCAGTCGGTGGGTGAGGGAAATCGTCAAGTAGTCTGTAGTAGCGTTGGTCTTTGCGGACATTGTATTTCTCATCGAAGATGAAGTTCCAACGATCGACGAAGTGGTGGCGAAGGTCCTGGACGCTGGCTCCTTGCAGGCAAATGGCAATATCCGACCATCCCATCCTCGAGCTCTTGGTCCTGTCGAGCTTGTTTTGGAACGGTTGTGCAACATCGCTGAAGTCCATGACTCTAGCGTTGTTGTAGTCCTGGCCAGGAAAGATGATATCGTTGATGTTCGAAGGATGTGCATCAGCGATTGAGTGCTGATTTGTATCCCATCTACCGAAACAGAGATCCAGGCCGCCCATGAACGCAATCCTGTCGTCAATCAAGCACAACTTCTCATGATGAGCCCAGTAGAGAACGACATCGTCCGTCACGCCATAAATTCCCTTGAGAGTATCTGCTCCAAGCTTAGAAATACCTGCAGCATCAAGCTTTAGAGCTTGGAGAGACGATATCAGGGACGATTGAGCAGTTTGAGCATCTGGGAGATGATCTGGGTGACGAAAGACTGCGATATTGGGATGTAGCTTCTCCAGTTCGTGTTTCGTATGTGCGGACGAAAGAGTCAAAGCTTGGGTGACCTCTTTATATACGATCACTTTGACCTTGACGCCGCGTTGTGCTGCCCGCTGCAGTGTTCGATCCAGCCTCCACTGTTCATTCTGAGTGGGTGGCCGACGAAGGTACAACTCAGGAGATAGCCACCAATCCAGGATCCAAATCGAGTGCTTTGCTCCTTCGAGTGCTTGACTAACTGCCCAGAAATAGCCACATCCATCGACATACCACTTGACATCATTACCCGGCTTCTCTGAAGCGAAGCTGTCGTAGCGGTTTGGACCTGGCGGTATGCCTTGCGGAACTGCCACACCAGGGTAACCTGCGTAACTGGCCTGTCCTGGGGGCGCCGGCCCATATTGCGAAGGGGGTCGATTGCCAGACCCTAACAAGTTTGTGACATCTGAGCCGATGCTATGAAGAGTACTATGCAACCCATCAAAGAGCTTCGACGTCAAATCAGGCCGACCTTGGGGTTGTTGAGTAGGCGGGCCTCCGGGGTAGGCAGATTGACCGACCTGGGGATATCCTGTACTAGGACCTTGTTGCCCATAATACTGCTGGTTTGAGCCGGAGCCGGAGGCCGAGTAGCCATAATTCTGCGAAGAAGAACCACCGGTCTTGTACTTGTCGAGCTCGGATTTGAACTTTTTGAATGTGTCTCCCAGCATTGATCGATCAGTGCCATCTTGTCCACCCCTCCCGCGAGACTGAGAGTAGTCGTCTCCGTATGCGAGGCCGTCGTCATCCGGTCGATTTTGGTAGGACATGGTAACTAGTCTTGTGTACTTTTACCCGGCACTCGACTCCAAAAGGTGGGAGAGGGAGGAGGTCACAAATGGCGACCACAGGACTGCACTCAAGACTTGGGAACGCTAGGGGTATCCAGCGGTGAACTCAAACGCGCTGCATTGTCATGGAGGAATTCGTTTCAGTCAGGGCGAGTGACTGAAGTTTCAGCTGATTCATGCCGTGTCAAGCAAGTGAAGCACATGCCAAGCTGGATTTGAGGGCGCCGGGTTCCCTGGGTGCATGGTAGAAGCCCAACCAGGCTGCAGTCAGCGTCCTCGCGACAACTCTCCACATCACCGTGGCCCCAATAAGAAACTGGTTTAAGAGCTGCTGCGCCTCATGGCCCCGCGAAAGCAAAACACCCCTGACAAAGCTGCCCCTCGCTACAGATGGCAGTTGAAAGATGCTGCTTCTGGGAGCACCAGGCTATTTCCTCCTCGATTCACAGACTCGCGTCCTTCGCATTGGTACAGACACACCCCGAATGTAGCCACATGTCGAATTCTCTCTGCTCTCTTTCAGCGACCCTGCAACGCCTGGAAACGCTAGGCGTGATGTACCTTCTCGGACCAGCGGTGATGCTAAACCGCGCAATGAGATGACGGCAATTCTCCCGGATGATGGTTGATGCGGGGAGGGCAGCTTCAAAGCCCCTCTACCAAGCAGAAATACAAGTATTGACCAGTGCACATCTCCACAAGAGTCTTTTGTGGATTGGCTATTTAACTGCAGTGACCTTTGCATCTCATTATGTCTCTGCCTCTGCGTCCTCTACAACGTCTCACTTCCACAGCTTTCAGGTCAAGGCCGAGCATTGTGTTGCGCCACGTCAGACTGACCCCGTTGCAATTGACCCGACCAGCCTCCAACATGTCTCTCGCAACTCTGGATGTGAGCTTTTATACCCCAAGGCCAAACGTAGGATGAAAACTGACATAACAAGGTGTCGCAACATCCAAACCTCCCCAAGTCCTCTGTAACTTTGTTCGAAGCGAAGGCGCAAAAGAAGGTGACTTTTGAAACGATTGGCAAGGAAATTGGCCGAGATGAGGTCGCGGTGGCGGCTCTGTTCTATGGACAAGCAAAGGCATCCCCAGAAGATATCGAGAAGCTCTCGAACTATTTTGGCATTGACCATGCTACCCTTGAGGCACAATTGAGCGGGTTCCCAGACCGCGGAAAGAGCGTGGAGATGCCTCCAAAGGAACCGCTGATCTACCGCCTGTACGAGATTGTGCAGAATTATGGATATGCATATAAAGCAGTTCTGAACGAGAAGTTTGGCGACGGGATCATGAGCGCAATATCTTTCTCCACTCACGTTGAAAAAGAGGTTGACAAGGATGGCGTTACATGGGTAAGATTGATCTCGCACTTTACTCTAGCTCTGGGCTGACTCGACCAAGGCGAAAATTACCCTTCGAGGCAAGTGGCTTCCATTCACTCGCTTTTAGACTCGAAATATGTATGGGCAAAGACAAGAACCGACCTGACGCAACTCACAAACCATTGTGAGAGTGGACGAACCCAGACCACGCCAGAAATCCACGTCGAGACTCCGTTTGTTCTCCTACTATGCCGGGAATAGCTTGGTTGTGTGTACAGTTCAACATTCCAACGCTTTGTGTGGAAAGAACAATACTAAGTGAGAACAATATCAAGCCTCGTCCCCTTCTGCTCAGCCTTGCTGCTTGGTCTTTGTGTGGCGGTGATTACCAGCCATCAGCTACCGATTTGGGGTATGAGAGCGTGATCTCTTTCTGCTTGCTTTCAGTATTTTGGTCTTTATGCAGTATATTAGGTACAGTATTTATATTGCATTTCATTCTGATCAATCTGTCTCTGCCATACACACGTTCATTCACTTCCAACTACAAGTCACTCCTTTCAGCTCCTCAGAACCTACACAAACAAGCCTCAACACTTACCATCAAACACCATCAGAATGTCTGCCCAAATGTACAGCTGCGTCGTCCAGTAGACGGGTGCCATTGCGTTCAATCTTCCCAAACACAGCCCCAAGCTCGATAACGGCAAAAACCCTGGGTCGCATTCTATCAAATACCCATCAAAATGTCCGCTCAAATGTACTCATGCGTTGTTCAATAGCGTGTCCCCTCGCAATGGCGGCGACCAGGGATGTGCAGGCACCCTCTGACGACATCATCTTCGACATGCCTTCGCGTCGCGGCCACTGGATCCCAACTAAGGAATCACGCTCTCGCCGGGCGTGAGGAGATCGCTTGCCATCTCCCATGGTTCGAGTGGTGGAGATTGACTTCGCTCGCCGTGCTGCTGAGCAGCGACATGTTCCTCCCTTTCTGTCCGTCGATTTTCAATTCGAAGATAACCCACATTTTTTACCCATATGATTGTCGCAAGGCATTTTTTTTGTCAATTCCGTGGCACACTGTATCCTTCCCCTGTGGATTTTGTACGTTCGCCATCATGATTTGTGAAATCCAGCGAGCAGAAAGAATTGGTGCTGGGGAGGGGCAACTTCCTCTCCTTCCACCTGTTTGTTCACTCTGCCTTTTTCTGTCCTGGCTGGTCGGCTGCCAGGCGAGGTACAGCGAACATGCAAAGACAGTCTCTGTTGGACGCACTGGAGGCTTACATATGTAGCGAATACCATTCATTTCTATCTCACCTGTCTCCATCTTCCCTGATCATCTGCGTAAGTCCTGTTGTCATGATTTTGCACTCCATCTCGTTGCCTCCAATCCATGAATTTGAATTTAAATCTTTCCTAGCGCAACTGATCTCAATCACCTCTGTTCAAGGCTCTCGGTAACGGCATGTGGAGGAAAAAAAGAGCATAGCAGGAAATAGGACTTCGCAATGACAAACCAAACAAAAACAAAATCGACAGCTACAGGATTTGAACCTGTGCGGGCGAACCCAGCAGATAACGGAGAGCCTAGAAGAAACTTCAAGAGGCCCGTTCGAGTCTGCCGCCTTAACCACTCGGCCAAACTGTCTGCCACGGCCTGAAATTCTTTGACCCAGAGAAATGGACATAATTCTGCTTAATTTTGGTTATACAATGTTATAACATAAAAGTTAAAGCTGCGCCTAATGACATCACACTTGGCTTCATTACAGCCCCCGACTCGTCCGTCGGAGCATTCGAGCTGATGGCGAAGAATACTATGATCTGTCGAGCACTTGCTGAAAATATCATGTGCAATCAGTATGGTATGCAGATGAAGTACGACAGCAGCTGCTAACCCAGCCTTCTCGCACCCCCCGTGCTCCTTTTCGGGATCTTTTCTCCAGCCGTCATGGGACCCTCCGATTCCGGACCCGAGCAGGATCCTGCCCAGCGCAAGAAACTGTTCGACGACTACCAGAGCTTCCTGCACACCTCGACGCTCGCGGCATGTTTCCTCGCACCCGCCCTGATCGCCCTCCCACCGCGCAAATTGGATCTCTATACCTTCTCATTGGCCGGTGCATTTCTCGGGGCTACGAATTACCAACTCCGAGAGCGCACGGGGCTGGGGTACATGGGTCACGCGTCCAAGAGATTCGACATTGGACGGACTCCCCTGCATGCCCTGGAGACTCCTGCTTCAGCACATGGAGAACAGCTTCGACGCCCCGAACACATGGCGCCAGAAATAGCAGGGGATAATGGGTCCTCTGCTCTACAAATCAAAGCTCGTGAAGCTTGGGCGAATAGACAAAACGAGGATTGGAAAGAACGCCGGTTGAAAGAAGAACAGGAGAAACTCGAGCAGGGTGAAGGTTATGGGAACATGATTGTCGACCAAATATGGGAAGTCTGGAACCAAGGCGAGAAGAATGCCGACGAGTTGAAAGAGAGGGACGAGGAAGTGGTGCGGAAGCAAAATGACCGGGGCTGAAGGACTTCGATTCTTGCCTTTGTCCTATCTGGCCTGTGGTCTACAACCCGAGGTGCGATTTGATACGAATTCGAGATTCCATCCACAAGTAGGACATCTCCTTTGAGAAACGGCGCGAAGCACGGGGTCGGCAGATCGTCTGCGGTACCTCAACATCACCGCCCGGCTCGCAGAAACTCGATACAAGGACCATCCACAACACTGTCTAATCGTGCTTGTAACCCGACATTGGCGTACCCCGACCAGCCTCATGCCCAGCACAGTCTTGGCCATACCTCCTTGCATCCGCCTCAGCCTGGAAATCACGTACTTTCACGCCGTGTTTCAGTACCTCGTCACGGGCTCTTTCGCTGAGTTCCGTCTGTTCGTGGCGCTGTTTCGCCTCGCCGGCGCTGAGAATGATAGGAACGCGTGCAGCACCGGTCCGTCTGTGGAATGGGGTCATTTGAGGCCTGTTCGCCACATGGCCGGTGGTCACGCTGGCCATATCCACCTTTGGATAGGTGGCCTTTATTGGTGGCGGAAAGACGCGGGTTACAAGCCGTGGTTTGTGCACTTCGCTCATATCTGTTGGTATGTGGTCTGTCTGATTCAAGAGGCGTGGATGTCTGTTCTCCGGTGACGGGTTCGGTCAGATTACCGTGTGAAAAGCTCAAGTTTGGTGTCGTGACGACGAGCGTCGATTGTTCCAGTCGACGACAGGGAGAAGGCTTAGGGTTATCGTAGCATGGCCTGACCCGTTGCATGAAAATTGGTGTGTAAATTCAATGCAGTTGATCCTGGACTGTAGTTTTATCGTCGGTGGATGATATCTAGCAACTCGCATGGAAGTTAGAGAAGAGCGGAATTTCGAGCCAGGGTACCTGGTTCAGAATTCAGTTGGGCTGCCTCTGACGTTCCAAACTCGACCGATTCGCCCATTTTATGCCAACTGCTCAGGTCGTACAGAAAAGCGGGAAAACGGAGATTGGCCCGGTTGGTTGTATGGAGGGGATAGTGTCAAGCTCGAGTTTTTCGAGTTGGGCGACACAACATGAATTTATACAGTGTACAGTGAGCCGGAGGCATGTGCAGCGATTATCGTTGCGATTCTCTGGGAAGAAAAGGCGAAGAAAGTATCAGTATGCAACTGTTCCTCATCCTTGAAGCGTGATACAACATCCTTGGGCAATCTCCTTTCACCTAATGCTTTGACCCTCGGCGTTTCTTCTTGCTCGCTCGTCCGTTTGTACCGTGGTTATTTGACTCGGGTGGAGGTCTTTTGCCCTTCTGCGGCTGTGGATTCTTTGGGGGCGCTGAAGAAGGTGTCGTCGTTGCGGGTTTTGGATCGTTGTTTTCCTTGCGTTTTTTGGTCTTGGGGCCCTTGATACTCCCAGTGGAATCACCGCTCTGTCTCTTGCGCTTCTTGTCCGTCTTGGCCTTTTTGCGCTCTTCCTTCGCCCGTGATCGTGCCTCGACTCTCTTCAGGAAAGAATCGTCCTCTTCCTCTTGTACCGGGTTATCTCGCTGGTCATCGCCATGTTTTGGTCTCTTCCGCATGCGCTCGTTTTCAGATGTTGTGGCTGGTTGTATCTGCTCCCCAGAAACTTTCCGCTTGGGACCGTTCCTCGCCTTTACTGCGACAATAGGCTTCTCTTTGTAGAGTTGTTCGATTGGAGTGGGATTTGTGTCGACTGCGAAAAAGCCGCTGGGATCCAATAGTGGCTCAGCAGGCGTGGGGGCTTTTTGGCCAGCAGTAGAAGGAGGGATTGGGATGTCGAGAATTTCCGGCTCGGGAACCTTTGCATCCTCGGTGACTTGCTCTTCTCGCTTAGTGACTTCGGTCAAGGATTCGGTGGAAAGCTTGAACGTTGCAATCAGACTCTCAGTGGTGTTAAGACGTTCTTGCACCAGGTTCATAGTAGCACTATTGTCAAGACAGAATTTTCGCATCTCCGCCAACAGGGAAGCGTGAGCGTCGAGCAAGGCTAGGAGCGAATTGTGCTGGTAGAAGAACTGTGGCCCTGGGTCAGTCTTGTACGCAAAGGCAGTTGTCTGAACTTTCCACCTACTTTTTGCCATGTTTTTTCGCCGACATCTGGGTCCATCCTGAAGGTACAATCCAGCGCCCAGCTGGAGAGTAAAGTGTATAGACGAGTTTGGCTTTTTGGTAGAGAAAATAGTTCAAACAGTTGATTTCTCCAATACCGAAAATGTGGGGAGGGACAATAGATTCACCGTAGTTTTCGGTGAAGTTGCTACGGCAGAGCATACACCCTTCCTCAGTTTGCATGCCTGATCTTTGACTTCATGTCACACCTTTGTCTTCCAACTTACCATCACAAGTTCTTCAGAAGTCAACCCACTCAGAGATGGCAGAATAAAGACATGGGGAAACATTGCCCTGCTCACTCGGACGTGATGTGCACGCGCCCTGCAGGTCCTGTACTCACATAGTCCAGAGGACCTGGCGAAGAAGACACACGCGGTCCTGATGCCCAGAGGGCGCGGTTAAGACTGAAGGACAAAGGCTAACTGTGGCTCTTGGCCCATGCTGCTCTCAAGATGGGAGAGACACAAGAGAGTCTCTCTTGGCCGTCAGCATGTTTGCATGGAGGATGTTGTTGTCGTCTTGTGGAGTCGAACTGATTGAAGAGGTGTGGCAGCATTGAATGGCTCTCTATTGATGCCCTCTAAGGACATGAGTACAATATGCATTGGGGTCCATTCGAATACCGCTACTGCCATTGATCGTGCTGGCCTATTCACCGGTGGAGGCTACCCAGACTATTGTCGTTGCTCCTGCCGCCGAGACCACGGATGCACCCACCTCAACGAGTTTCCTCCTCCACTCCTCTTCTATCCACCCGCTTCATTTTCTTCTTCCTCTTCCTCTACTTTCTTCATCTCACTTCTCTTAATACAAAGGCTACAGCTTTGCTTGCTCAAGTTCCCTGCTGTTAGCTTCTCCTCCCTCTTATCATCCATCCTCCACTGCATCTTGGTTGCTCATTCTCATTTCCCCCTTTGCTGCTCTATTCATCGGGCCCCATCCCATTTCTAAACAACACCCTCGGAAGAACCACAAAGAGGCGTGGTCTGAAGCCCCTCTCGTGGTGACAGATTGAAGGCGAGTCTATCGAGGAGGCTCCTCCACCGTGATGTCTATGCCTTACTGTCAGAAGAATACTAATCAGTGAAATCCAGACTGCAGCAGCCATGTCTGACAAGCCTGCAACTCAGTCGGTCCCAAGCAACGCATATTCTGGCTATCATCAGTCAAGAATGCCGTACAATGCATCAGGCTATCCACAGTACAATGGAGGTAAGAGCTGGAGTCACTGTCTGAGGCACAAATTCCTCACCATGTAATAGCCATGAACATGACCAACTCCAATCCCCTTTCCAACATGCAGAACCTCAAGGCCACCCTGCCACCCTCTGCTTCGGTCGAGACTGAGATGAATGCAGTCAATCGTCCCGGATACAACAGCCCTTTGATGATGTTGCCGTCTGGTCAAGCCGTGCCACTCCCCAACTTCTACGGCCAGAACCAGACCTCAACTGGAGATGCTTCCCAATTGCCCTATGTCCCCACTGGTATGTTTCCAAGCTTCATCGGAAATACCAGCATGGCAACAAGTGCTCTCCCAGGATATGGTTGGCCGTACAATCTTGCCTCGAATGTTGCCGGGTTTGATCCAGGTCGTCGAGGATCCTGGTCTTCCAATGAAGAGAATGCTTCCAACAACCAAAATGTGGCGCTGCAGGGTCAATCAGACTACTACAACTCCATGGCCTACCTGTCGACCACTCCTGCCAGCCAACACTACGTTGCTGGGCCCATTCAACCAATGAAGTGTCAAGACAACAAATCCTACGAGATGGTCAACCTTGATGAGCTCGTCAACCGTGACCCACAGATCCCTCGTGCAGTGCCCGCCATGTGGACCAACCAGGAGGAACTCAGCCTGGCCAAATGTCTTCAGAATCCCGAGGGCATTACCAACGTCTACATTCGTGGCTTCATGCCGGACACCACCGATGAAGACCTTGAACGTTGGGCTTCTCGCTTTGGTGAGATCGAGTCATGCAAGGCCATCATCGAGCAGGACACGGGAAAATGCAAAGGGCATGTTGCCCCGCCCAATTGTTGTGCTTGCTAACAATGTCCAGCTTTGGGTTCGTCATGTACTATTCTCCCGCTGCTGCAGAGAACTGTATCCGTGGCTTCTTCCATCTTGGGTTTCAAGCCAGCTATGCTCAGGTATGTAGCACTGCCCTACTATGTCGTGGTCCTCTAACACTCCCAGAAATCTCGCAACTCCCGACTCAAGGACTTGGAGGATAAGAACTCTACCAACATTTATTGCACCGGGGTTCCTATTGATTGGAATGAATCAGTTTGAGTTCTCCCACCATGTTTACAGCTTCTACTTACCAACCTATCCAGGATCTGGCCAAACATTTCTTGCCGTATCACGCCGTCTCCACCAAGATCTGCCGCGATGCACCATCCGGAGTCAGCAAGGAAGTTGGCTTTGCAAGGTATTGAAAGATGCTTGAATCCATATGCGTGAACTTGTCTGATTGTCACAGATTCGAAACACGTGAGATTGCAGAACGTGTCATCAAAGAATTCCACTCTGTCCTCAACGAGCGTGATGGCATCAAATTGTTCCTCCGCTTTGCCGACACCAAAGCTCAGAAGCAGCTCAAACAACAGAGTCAAGAACGTCGCAACTGGCGCAGTCGCGAATACAGCTATTCGGTTGAACACACTCCATCTCCAACTCTGTCTCGTTTGCAGAACGTGAACAACCACATCAGTCCGAATGGCAGTTGGCAGTCTCCGGCTGGAACTACCAATGGCTTCACTCCAGCGACGTCAGTCTCTCCGCCGTAAGTCTGGCCTTGCTGCCCAAGCTCCTTGGTCCTTCAAGCCAACTAACCACGCATCCTGCAGTGAGCTTCCGGGTGTCAACAACAAGACTGCGACCATGATCCGCAACTCCACATCGACTTGGCCAATGCAGGGGGGACTGCAGTCGATTACCAACTCCACCACTGTTAGGACCAATCTTCCAGCAGCCCATCCTTACATTGAAGTCCCGCCAAAGTCTGCGGCCGCAATTGCAATCATCCCAGACAATGGAAACATCAACAAGAAGACCAAGACTCCAAGTCCAAAGAAGGTCACCATTAGAATTGAGCCAGCCAGCGGCAAGGAGAACTACACCGCCACCACTCCGCAATCTTGCAAATGAGCCAGCTACGCCAACGCTGCCAAGGACATCTGTTCCCGCATGCTTCCAACTATTTTTGGCGTGCATTTGTTCTTGGTCTGCTGGTACTATCCATCTTGATTCCTTTTGCTCATTCTTGCCTCGAGCATGCACACTCATTCCCTGAAGCATGCATTTTTGCCACCTCGACATATACAAAGCATGAAAAGAGACGGCATTCATTACTCATGTACAGCAAGACATTCATCATGGTGTATCGATGAAAGGAAAAACATGGGTCAGGCAATATGTTGATAATACAGGTGTAGGAGGAGGAGCTGAGATCGGTTTAAGTCTTGACAGTTTGTATTCGCTAGCTAGTATGTAGTTACTTGAGAGACTGAACTCACAATGCATTCAGTTAACATACGGCCTGTTGTCTGTGTCACTTCCTCTCACATCTCGTTAACAAATATTGTTGACGACTTCGGATTGATGTAAATATAGGGTTCTTTTGAAGTATAAACGTTTGCCCATTTTCGCAGCCTTAAACTTGTGCCGGTTGTGCGGGGACACGATAGACACCCAACAGCAGAAGGGAGGGAGGGGCAACTCCAGATTGCTCGTCAACTAGCCGTGTCTGCGATATGCCGGCACCCCGCCAAAACCAATCTTGATCAAGGCGTCTTATTGGCAGGTGAGAGGTGCCTGGCTGTGGAAGGTCTTGTGTGATAACCTATCGCCAGGTTGAGCGTCGGGGGAGACGAGGCTGTGGCGAAAAAGGGGTCGCATTGTTCCGTACACCACGTGATCATGAGTGACTACAGGCGCAGGATTGGAGTGGAGTGAGGCGAAGTTGGTACTTGTACTCGGTATAGGTATTCAAACTTGGAAGTCATTGTGAGATCTTCATGATTTTGTGTAAATGTACTTTGTTACCTAGGGTATGTAATGTGTATGACATGTACGCAGCGGTGCTACCTCTTGATGCGACGCGTATCTGGCCAGCCTCATAATGTCACGACACTTCCCTTGTGAAAAGTGCAGCCGCCGATCGTTCGCTTGAAACCGACGCACTTGATGCTTCCCGCGGTGCAAGAGACCAAAAACTTGTTTGTTGCACCTCCGACAAACTAAAAGTGACTAGCTTGTCCTCCTCTACCGCGAAGTCTCAGGGATTGAACAATGCAGGTTCGTCGGCTTCGGCCCCCGCTTCCATTCCCGCTGACGAACTAGGTGTTTGAGCAGGAGAACTGTCCCATGTGTCCGCCTCTCTGGCTTGAGGCCACTCGTTTCCTGTCCTCATCACTGCAGCCCAGTCCAACTCTTCGGGGAACCACTTATCTCTCCTTACTGTTTTCTTGTTCCCGCCTTCTAAGGCTGCCCTTGCTGCTCTTGTACGCCGCTGTCTCTTTATCCCTTGCTGACTTGACCCGTGTAGTTCGTTTCGAACCTGCTCAAGTCGTTGATCGTGAGACACGATGTAGCGGATGTAGGGAGCGACTTCTGTCACAAGTGAGATGGCGGATGGATTGTCCAGAGAGGGTGCTTTACGCCCGGGCGAGCTGGGGAGGCCGATACGGGATTCTTCCAAGAGAGGTTCGAATGCTTCGCACATTGAGGATTGAAGGGTCGTTGATTCGTTCAGATTACCGAGGTACAGGCGGACGACTTCGTTCCTGTGGAATGTGTGGTCGCTCACAGCGGCAGCAGCTGGATTGGAGCATTTCCATAACGCGCTCGCTACCACGGGTGTTATTGTGTCATCGACCAGATCCATTGCGCTTCTCGCCTCATAGAGGGTGAGCAAGTCATCCAGCGCTGAGCCATGGTTCGTCTCAGTGCTAATTGAGCACATGTCGTCCCGAACCCAGTCCTGTGCCGGAATACGCAGATTGTCCTGGGAAAAACGAATGAGATCTTCAACGTCGTCAAAATCGGCTGGCAAGAGATCAAGCCCGTTGGTGACAGTGTCTTGACTGACAATTCGTGTGACTGAGCCATCTGACATGACTTGGGACTCGTCATTAAAAGGAAGCATCCAATCCAGACCTCCCTGCTGCGATCCGACCGTCATTTGGCACCAGAGATTGAGTTCCATGATTGACGCGCGGAGATCTTGACCTTTCGTAAGATAGAGGTTCTGCAAGACTTCTTTGCTCAGAAGATGTCCTTCAGCCGCACATATTGATCCCAGAAGCTGTATAGCCAAATCCTGTTGGGGAATGTCATATCGCAAAACGGCGAAGAGGTCTAATTCGGCCATGGGCACGGAATCGACACTGTTGCATGTGAGGATGACAGGTCGCTTGGAGGTCCGGATAAGTGATTGAACGCCACTCCAAAAGGCTTTATCTTCTTCATACAGAATGTCGACCTCTTCAAACAAGACGAGAGATTGTTTCTGCGACTTGGACTTGGTTTCTTTGGTCTCTTTCACTTCGCCAATTTTGGACTGTCTGCCACCCTTTCTGCGACCCATAGTATTTGCTGTTGAATCCTGGCTGTCCATCAATGGCCTAGAGGTGGAGAAGACTGCGTCACTGTCCTCCAATGACAAACTCGACCTTCGGCTGGACGTGTCTTGATGTTGAACCAAGTGGTTCTGTGTCATGTCCCCTACCTTGTCTTGGATGTCCTTTGCACTTCGTCGCATACCAGGATGGATCTCAAATACCTCGAACCCAAGTTGTTGTGCCACGGCAAAAACTGAAGCAGTTTTTCCAGAGCCTGGAGGGCCTGTGAGGAGGATCGCATTCTTTCCATTCGCGATCGAACGGGTATCCTCGTCGTCTGAATATGCAATGAAGTCGTCCATCCCTTCCGACTTCCTCTTGCGACGCTTCTTGGGAGTCAGAGGTTTCGCCTTTGGTTGTAATTTGCCAGTCTGGACTTGGTGCACTCTCAGATTACTCAGCCAATCATATAGAGCTTTTCCTTGTGGTTCTAAGACCTCTTGCCAACAATTCGGTGCATATTCATGGCACCAAAGTTGGGGTCCCGCGGCCACACCCCTGTCAAAAGAACTGCGCGTCGATTCAACTACTGCTCCTAGCCGGGAAATTGAGGCCGACTGGTGTTTCGATTGGTGGTCGATCCCATAGAGCGTTTCAATGAGTCTAACGAGTTCTGTGCTACCCATGATCTTTCGCTCAGGTATGTGAATGGGCCTAACGTCGACATTCTGCTTCAAGCGCCTTGAAAAATTCCAAAGTATGTCTTCGTCCGCATTGACACGCAAAGAATGTTGTTTGAACTTGGGCCGTGATAGAGAGAGTGTCCAAACCGTGGCTGCACCACGTGGAGCATGACTTGGTAGTACATGTTGGATGTTGGTCGGAGGCCAAACGGGTAAGAGCACCGGCGTATTTTTGTTGTGAACTGTCCTCCTCGATTCAAAGATAATGTCTTTCCAAGGCTTTGGTGCCTGCGACCTTGAGGTTGTCTCGTCCTCCGAGGGGTTTGCAACAGAGGATGTCTCGCTTTTGAGGTCAGACTGCTTTTGACTATTGCCTGACAGTCTTCCCAGAAAAAATGGGTGCGTTGCCTTACTCACGACAGGGTGGTGGGGTGCTAGCTTTCCCTGAGCTTGCGGGCCTTGAATGCGGCTCTTTTCAGAGTTGTGAGACAAGATGTCGTTGATCTTGGAACCGGAATCCGGAGCTGAATATGACAATGTAATGCGCAATGAAGAGACCAATTTTCCCTTCTTCATTTCCAGTTTCTTAGATTGACGGGCAGTTTTTTTTGCGTCACCGCTCTCCCCACCTGTGTCGGTCGTAATACTCCGTGACGCACGCTTAGGCGATTTCTTCGGCGAGAAGATGAGCTTTCCGTGACCACTTCGCATCATTTTGTTCCTTTGAGGAGAGCCGCGTTCGCTCTCCTTGGTTGAGTGGTCGTCCGTTGTGTTATCAGGGGGTCGATGGTGACGATCAGGGGATTTTGTGAGGTCGATTTCAGCTGGGTTTAAAGAAGAATTAGGAGAATGTCGACCGTCAAGAGTTGTCCTTTGTGATGTGATACAACCCTCTGCGGACAATGTCGGTTGAGATAACTGAATTCTACTTCCATTGTCGCTCAAGGAAGGTCGATCAGCAACTGTCTGATCCTCAGCACAATCGTGAGGTGGTTGGATATCATCACATGTCTGTGCTGCAGCCTGGAGCTGGTCCTGCCACGTCATCTGGTTTGTGTGTGAAGTCTCCGTTGTCTCGGTGAGTGGATGCACAGAGCTGGCAGACACTCTTCGTCTTTTTATTCTAGTGTTTTCGTGTTCAAGGTCGTCTCCCTCTTCCACACTCCATGTTCCACTAGGGGCAGCCTCTGTTGCCTCTGTGCGTATAACATTGCCGGGATTACAACTCTGCTCTTCATTGTTGTTGGGGGGGTCATCTTCGACTGCGCCATCCAGCCCTCGAATTCTGGGGAGAGGGCATTGAGATGAGGAATCGTTGGGTGCGGCGGCTATAAACAGCGTCAGCGTGTGGAATCCCCGGAGGGATATGATCGCGTACCTTTCCTAAAGAACGGATGCATATGGGATCGATGTTCTGGGCCAGCGCCATAGTCAAGCAGCGTTGCCATTGACGTACAAGTCAATTTTTGGAAGGCGGTGGTGTCATGAAGTCTAGATTCCGCTCAGACTAGTGAATGGACCGATGAATACGTCGTCGATGATACAATGAGCCGTGGCCAGCCCTCCCCTAAGACAACTGAGAGTTGGTATAGGATGGAGGTGCGCGTGGTCATGATGTATAACTGGATTACCGGAAGCGCGTCCGTGACGCGATTCCCATGCCCAGAAATGGGGGGTGCACCTGTAAATGCCTTCCAGTCGCTGATAGGCTTGCTTAGGCGGAAGATCGGCCACTAAGCAGGCCCTGGTTAGGGAAGTGCTTAGCGAGACTTATTACCATTTGGGATTTGGACGGAGGAACCTCGCCGCCCTCCGCAAAAATTTTGTGGAGACCATCTCAAAACTTTTTGTCTGCACATCAAGTTCTACCTAGCAGCACTACAGTACTCATGCTCCAGCCATG